CCCCGCTCCGGCCACTCACCACCCCTCCCACCCCCCCGCTCCAGCCATTCAGCAACCTCCCCTTCCAACCCCTGCTAGCCACCTCCCAGCCCCACATGGGCTGATATGCGCCGGGACCCGTACACTCCTATGGATGGCTCTGGTTACTGCACTGGCCAGACCCATGCTTCTGTCTCCTATCTCTAACCTTGAACTGTGTGAACTAATTAATTTAATTTTTGCAGCAGACTGCATGAACCTTATCTAGCACAGGATATGAAAGCACAGGAGATTCCTACATGGAGATGGAGAAAGGGAGGTGCTGACACTAGTTCACATATCAGCATTTTTTCTGAGCCCACATTCCACAGAAAATGAGAAAAACAAATATGAATTTCCTAATCAGGGACTGAAATACACATACACACAATATAATATGCAAATCTGACTGAGAAAAGAATAAAGGAACTTCATCTGTACACAATTAATGACTTATTCACAGGAATGAAATTCATCTGTAACTGCCCATCTAGACCTATGCACTTCTGAAATCTCAAGTAAGCCCCAAAATGGAAGTGGGGCATTTAGTATGCTGCAGTTGTGTGGGGGCTGCCTGCTCAGGAGTGAATTTCACTCAAAATAATCATGTTTCCCCTTCTTACAGATTTTGCAACAATTTATTAAGCTCAGCAAAACTGTTTTCCTTTGTGATGTTACGCATGCTCCTAAGAGTTTACAAGGTACTTGTCCCACATTATAATGATGTAGACTTGCTCAAGGTAACCTTAGGCAATGACTGGTTGTTCTATGTAAGAACTGAATGGTGATCTTTGATCCCTTGAAAAATGTTCATTTTCATGATTCAGTCCATGCATATCTGTAACAAAATATTTGAGGAAACAGTTTGTATTTTTTACAGTCAGAGAGATTCCATACAGCCATATAGATATGTATGCACAAAATCCCACACTGATTGAAAATTTACATTATAAAATTTAAATCCTTTATTTCAATGCCTGAATTTATGATCTATGCAGATCTTTGTGGATACTGCACTTTACTGCCATGAAATGACTGATCACATGTTTTAAAGAGATACCATCAACTTGAAAACTACTGAATTTACAAGAATAAACTTTAATAGCTTCAGGTAGTACATCTTCCTCTGGATCCCCTGGCCAGATGGTGTGGTGTTGCATGCTGTTTCACGAACATATTGGGGAAAATCTAGGTAACTTGTAGAGAGGGCAAGTTAACTAGACATTACAGTTGGATAGACATTACAGATAACATTACAAGTTAACTAGACATTACATAATGGATAGACATTACAGATAACAAATGGTTCTTAGCCATATTGTACAGGTGAGGGATTAAGTAATAAAAGGATTGGAATTATGCATGAGTGAATGAATGAAGGTTAGTAAAAAAATGTAGGAAGGAGCCTTGAGGGAAAGGAGCATAAGACGTTCAAAATACAAAACTGAAGGAAACACGACATATTGCTTAACCACTTTTGTTCTTACATCTGTTCCCCTACCACTCGTCAGTATTTGTCTTTCAGTGGTAAATTCTTGGACCTATTTTATTAATATGTCTATAAAACAACTAGCATATGCTTTGGCTTCTGAAAATAAGAGGAGATAATTATATCCTGAAAAAGCCGAAATGACAACGATGTAGAGAGCATTTTACCAGTTGATCATTTGTTTGCGTAATTTATCAGTTAAAGTATTTATGGTAAGCATATTCCTCATCTTGGGTTACAATGTATAGTTTCTTTTGGCCTATTCTAAGAGCAGGCCTTATGTCAAAGGACTTGCCAAAATTATTTAATTCATTTTCTGATGGCTGTCTGATTTGAGCACCCACTATAATGTTAATTATCAGTGAAAAAGGCATTATCACATTACATACTTTAGACCTCTCTTTTACACAGACTTCCATATTTTCAAAAAGGTTTCTGTATTTGCTGAACAACTGCAGCCAAGATAGTGCAGTGTCTCCTTAGATATATATTTCATAGATTTCACAGATATTAGGACTGGAAGGGACCTCACGAGATCATCAGACCCAGCCCCCTGCCCAAAAGGGGCAACATAGGCTTTGGAGTGAGTTGACAAAAGGCTAGATCCATTGAATTCCAGTTGGCAACAGGTTGCATGAATTCTTTTCTAGATCAAGCCCTAAGTTATTCTATTTTTAATTGAGTTTCCTTCCATACAAATTATTTATCTAAGGAGAAAAACAGGGTGTGTGTTTGTTTTGTGCAGGTGTGTGTGCATGAGTTTTCAGCTCGTAATACTATAGTTATTACAAAGGATTACTGTGAAATGGAGGTTAACAGGTATACGACCTAAAAAAAATGTCAAGAAAAATGTTACCCACCCACCAATAATGCAATTAAGATGACTTAGTTGTCATGAAAACCAATGCTTTCAAAGAAAAATCTATAAAGACTTATGAAAAGCTTTACTTTCAAGTCCTATTAAAATCAATTACCTTGATTTTATGGTGTTCTGCACTTAATTCAATTACACATATCAATGTAAAGAGGGCATTAAATGCTATCAAAACGGGGTAATAATTAGGGCTGAGCAAAATTTCTCTGGCTGTTTTGATTCAACACTGTTTCGACTCATTTAGAGTTCAAAACAGCGAAATCGAATCAAAACGAAGGGCTTCAAAACAGCCTCAAAACAAAATGAGGCTAGTTGAAATGTTTCAAAACTTTTGAAACGTTTCACGTTTCGAAGCAACCACCAGGTGGGAGATAGGGGAGAACCAGGGCTCTGCTCCCAGCGACTCCACAGCTCCATGTGGCTCAGCCAGGAGCGCAGCCCTGGCTCTCCCCGCCTCCCACGGCCAGGCTGTGGGAAGCCAATCA